TTCCTCTGGGAGGGGCCATTCATCGTCCACCTGTGGCCTTACTCCCAAGTCGACCCTGTTTTTTAGCTGTTCCCTTCGTCTGGCAACTCTGCACGTGCGCACACTGGGAACAGGCTCCAGCTGTTCCTCTGCCTCACTGATGTCTGACTCTGAAGCCAGCTGATAACTGGCATATAGCTTTGGCCCCCTCTCTGCCTCCAACACAGAGGCCTCATCAGAGCCTTCCCAGACTCCAGGACTGGCCCATCTTCCTCCCCAACCTCCTCACTATCAGAATCTGCTGCCAGCTGTGCTGGCGGGCCACAACACTCTGAAAGCTGATGCCCAGAGCTGTAACCCTCGTTTACCAATCCCAGGGACAGCCTTTAACACAGGCACCAAAGCCAACGCTTAGTGCAGCCTAAGAACCCCCATCGCCCACTTCCTTCGAAACCAGGAACGTCGGCTGACATGTTATTTCTTCCTTCTCGTCCCGTCTCCTCCTCCTCGCAGGTGACGAGTCAGGAGCACACCATGAAGCAGCTGCCCGAAGACGGCGCCTACGTCAAGGGCCTCTTTCTGGAAGGAGCCCGGTGGGACAGGGAGACCATGCAGATCGGCGACTCCTTCCCCAAAATCCTTTACGACGTCCTGCCCATCATTTGGCTGAAACCCGGAGAGAGCGCCAAGTTTTTGCACGAGCGGATCTACTTGTGCCCCGTCTACAAAACCAGCGCCCGGAGAGGCACCTTGTCCACCACCGGACACTCCACCAACTACGTCCTCTCCATCGAACTCCCTTCCGACCTTCCCCAGAAGCACTGGATCAACCGGGGCGTGGCAGCCCTTTGCCAGTTAGACGACTGAACTGTACATACAAAAACAGATGTATGTATTCCCGCAGCTTCCCATTAAAAGATGTAAGTTTTGACCTTGGCCCTCGCTGGCAGTCTTAAAAGACCTCTTATCTTTCTGAGTTTGCCCTCTGGCTGCAAGAATTGCAGAGTTGGGGAATGGAGAAGTCAAGCGTAGCTCTGGCTCGCGATGCAGATTTGACGAGTGAAAGTTGGGTCAGATACAATGGTGGGACTCAAGCTGGTTCGGACTGGTTTGGGCGAACCGATAGTTCCAGTGATCTGTTGGTCCCGCCCGGTGGTGGGTTGCAGGCGGTGCGTCCCGGTACAGGTGTACCGGTGCGTGCTGGGAGCACCGGGTACCGTTCCGGTAGGGTGCTCCGGAGGTCCCACCTGCCCACTCATCCTCCTTAATTGTATTTGAGCTCTTCGGGGTTTCGGCACACACGGTGCCTGCATGACACTCCGCCAAGCAGCTGGCGCGTCACAGAGGCATCGCAAGAGGTAAGGACGGTTGCGTGCACTGCATACATGCTGAGCGCATACATGTGGGAGACGCCGGGGCCCGTTGCACCATATCAGTTGCAACAGATCCAGAACCCACCACTGGTCCTCCCACCCGCCCCTGTTCTATTCCGTCCTATATTTCCTTTGTTCGAAGCCCAGCTGATCAGTGCGGCAGAATGGATTGCTATCTCTCAGCTGTTTTACTCACCGGAGCTGCAGGAAAAGGTAAGATTGAGTGCTGATTTCAAATGCAATGTGTACCTGCGCGAAGCGAACCCGTTGTGGTTGTTAAGTCAAGGACTACCTGTATCCTTTGGGGGGCGAGTTGTAACTTTGAAAGAGAGTTCAGTCATTAAGTGGGCGGGCTTTCCGAAAATCAATAACCCCGGAGGATATGTGCAGAAGTAGAACACAAGATTGATTAGACCTTGGATTATTTTTTTTAAATCACATTTTTTTATTTATTTCCTCACAATGCTTCTTTCTTTTCACACAAGGGAGATTTAGCTCCTTCTTCTCATCTCTCTTTGGGACCAAGTGGATTCCCGACCTTTGGGGAGGAAAAAAAAAATCACCTGGTGGTAACTGTACCAATTTCATTTTCACCGGTAGTCATGCCAGGTGCATCGGTCCGGTAGTCTTAAGACGATGTCGACCTCCGGCTGGATCAGGGGCTATGAAATTTCATCGTGAGATTTCAAATAAATCGGTTTAGAGATTTTCCTTAGCTTTTCCTGGTGTCGAAATGCCCGGGCTTGTGGCTGAGCGAGGCCCATGGGTGGCAAATGAATCTGTACAGTAAGAAGAAAAGAAAACTTGTTTAAGAAAAGACTGAAAAACATCCAGGCCTTATTCAGATACCATGCTTAATCATTCATCTCTCTTGTTTATTTTTTTCCAATGAAACTTTCATTTTAAACAAGAAGGTAAAAGCTAAAGCAAAGTAACAGGACAGTAAGAAAGGAAAAAGAAAAATAATAGTTATGGAAAAAGCGAGGTAACAATAGCAAGAGCACTTAAGACTTCTATACCACTTCACAGTGCTTTTACAGCCCTCTCTAAGCGGTTTACAGAGTCAGCCTCTTGCCCCCAACAATCTGGGTCCTCATTTTACCACCTCGGAAGGATGGAAGGCTGAGTCAACCTTGAGTTGGTCAGGATCAAACTCCTGGCAGTGGGCAGACTTGTTAAAATGGTGGCACACTGGTCGGAATACAGCACTGAAGCTAATTCTGCTGACTGCCCACTGTCAGCAGTTCAATCGTGACTCAAAGTTGACTCAGCGTTTCATCCTTCCAAGGTGGGTAAAATGAGGACCCACATTGTTGGGGGCAAGAGGCTGACTTGCATCCATTTTTAGGACCTGTGAGTTGCTCCTTTTTTGGCCACACTTAAGTGAATTGCTTCCGTTAGGTGAATCATGCGGTTGTTAAGTGAGTCATCTTGCCAAAAGTCAGCTGGGAAAGCAACAATGGTGGTCACCTGATCCCAGGGGACTGCAACCAACTGCATACATGCTGGTGGCCACGTGCCTGTTTTTTTTGATCGCGGGACTGTTGGGATACTGAAATGGTCATAAATGCGAGGACCGGTCACTTTTCGAAGTACCATGGTGACTTCGAACAGTTACCAAAGGAAGGATTGCAAAAATCAAGGACTGACAGTATCTCTGCAAACTATTGTCAAGACAGAATCTCGAGCCACAGGTGGAATTCAGCCAGTTCTGACCAGTTCCGGCGAACCAGTAGTGGAAATTTTGAGTAGTTCAGAGACCAACCAATACCACCTCTGGCTGGCCCCGCCCCCACCTATTCTCTGCCTCCCGAGTCCCAGCTGATCGGCTGGGTCTTCTTCTGTTGCCCTGCACAGGGGAACGGAGCTGGGGATTTTACAGTATCCTTGCCTTGCCATGCCCACCAAGCCATGCCATGCCACGCCCACAGAACCGGTAGTAAAAAAATTTGAATCCCACCACTGCTCCGGACTGAGAATTAATAAGATTCTTATCAAAGAGTGATTCCTACTTACAGGCCTCGGATACGGGTTGTGATAATGAAGTCCCAACTCTATCCTCGCCTTGCACTCTTCTACACACTGTTTAATCAGCTCAGGATCTCTTAGCTGGTCTTGCAAACAGTACAGAAAAAAGAAAAGGAAAGTTAGAACAGAAAGTGCAGAGGTTCTAAAGAACAAACAGGTAAGTTAAAACTCCCCCCCCCCAAATTACCTTGCGAATTCCACCCCTGTCCCCCCCAAGACGTTCAAAGGAAAGACCTTGATTTTCCTGGAAGGATGGATGGATGGACAGAAGGAAGGGAGAGGGAGGAAGAATATTGATAGTGAATGAGAGAGAGAGAGGAAGAAAAGAAGGAAAGATATTGATAGTGAAAGAGAAGGGAGGAAGGAAAGAGAAGGAGAAAGAATAATTAGAGTGAATGAGAGGAAAGGAATGAAGGGAGGGTGGATGGAAGAATATTGATAGCGAAAGAGAAGAAGGAAGGGAAGGGAGGAAGGAAGGAAAGAGAAGGAGAAAGAATAATGAGAGTGAATGAGAGGAAAAGAAGGAAGGGAGAGGGAGGAAGAATATTGATAGTGAATGAGAGAGAGAGGAAGGAAGAAGGAAAGATATTGATAGTGAAAGAGAAGGGAGGAAGGAAAGAGAAGGAGAAGGAATAATGAGAATGAATGAGAGGAAAGGAACGAAGGGAGGGAGGAGGGAAGAATATTGATAGTGAAAGAGAAGAAGGAAGGGAAAGGAGGAAGGAAGGAAGGAAAGAGAGGGAGAAAGAATAATGAGAGTGAATGGGAAGAAAAGAAGGGAGGGAGGAAGAATATTGATAGTGAAAGAGAGGAAGGGAGGGAGGGAGGAAGGAGGGAAAGGAAGGAGAAAGAATGAGTAAATGAGAGGAAAGGAAGGGAGGGAGGAAGAATATTGATAGTGAAAGAGAGGAAGGAAGGAGAGGGAGGAAGAATATCAATAGTGAATGAGAAAGCAAGAAGGAAGGAAAAGAAAGCTAGCTAGCTAGCTACAAATAACTCCTGCCTTAATCAGACATAAACCCCTTTTCAAGGATGATCTTCACAGCCTTTTGCTAAATTTATTGAGAAGAAGACAATGGCGAGGGACGTTAAAGAATTCCGGCCACTGAACTATTTCCTACCTGCAACCGAACTACCTCCAATTACATCAAGATGGAACCTTCCCTCGTATCTTTTATTTTTTTGACCCTGCAAAATCGGAAGGTCTTTTCAGTGATAACCCAGGAGCTGATGGCTGATAGTTTATCACCCTCTTTTCTTTGAATCTTGATGGCTCTGAGACGATGGCCTTCAGCGCACCATATATAAGCTTACCGCGGCTTAGTGCAATGTTTGAGCCACACAAGGGGGCACGGCTGTGGCTATTGAGGACCTCAGAGGTTAAAGTCAGCCCTTTGCATTGTGCTGGGGTTAGTCACCAAGGCAGCCAACCAGAGTCTGATGTGACCTGATCCTTCAAAAAGGTGGCAGTTGATATTCTCACTGCCACTCTTTCCACCAAGGGAAGCGTCTTAAGATAGCCTTCCGGAGCCTCCTCTTCTTCTCCAGCCTTCCATGAACAGAAAGTTGGATCTTTGGCTCTTTCAGCCCTGCTGAAAACTGACAAAGTCAAGTGTCCCCCAAAAAGGAGCATTTGGCACTCAGGAAACAGAACCAAATGAGAGAAAGGAATTTTCTCACCTCCCTGGATAATAGTATAATCTTTATTGCCACTGTACTTAAATGCAGTGAAATTGAATCATCATCATCTTCGCTTAACGACCCCCATAATCCCTTGCTGGGTGGGGGGAGAGTCTGGGCAGCTGAATGGAGCTAGCAGAGTGTCTGAATAGCCGGATGCCCTTCTTGACACCAATACGGAGTTTTGTTCAGCAAATATATTCTCATTGTGCCCAGAGAGAGAAATATCCACCTCTAGCAATAGCGCTTAGACTTATATACCACTTTACAGGGCTTTACAGCTCTCTCTAAGAGGTTTATGGTGTCAGCCTATTGCTCCCCAAAAAATCTGAGTCCTCATTTAACCGACCTCGGAAGGATGGGAGGCTGAGTCAACCATGAGTCAGTCAGGATCGAACTCCTGGCAGTGGGCAGTGTCAGCTTGAAATTCTGTATTTGAACCACTGTACCACCAAGGCTTCCTTCTTTCCTTCCTTCCCAAGCAATAGCAGACTTATATACCGCTTCACAGTGCTTTTACAGCCCTCTCTAAGCGGTTTATAGAGTCAGCCTATTTGCCCACAACAATCTGGGTCCTCGTTTTACCCACCTCGGAAGGATGGAACGCTGAGTCCACCTTGAGCCAGTCAGGATCAAACTGCTGGCAATCGGCAGAGTTAGCCTGCAATATTGCATTCTAACTACTGGGAAGGAAGGAAGGAAGGAAGGAAGGAAGGAAGGAAGGAAGGAAGGAAGAGAGCAGTAGCAATAGCACTTAGACTTATATACCGCTTCACAGTGCTTTTACAGCCCTCTCTAAGCGGTTTATAGAGGCAGCCTATTTGCCCACAACAATCTGGGTCCTCGTTTTACCCACCTCGGAAGGATGGAAGGCTGACTCCACCTTGAGCCAGTCAGGATCAAACTGCTGGCAATCGGCAGAGTTAGCCTGCAATATTGCATTCTAACTACTGGGAAGGAAGGAAGGAAGGAAGGAAGGAAGGAAGGAAGGAAGGAAGGAAAAGAGCAGTAGCAATAGCACTTAGACTTATATACCGCTTCACAGTGCTTTTACAGCCCTCTCTAGGCAGTTTACAGAGTCAGCCTCTTAACCCAACAATCTGAGTCCTCATTTTACCCACCTCGGAAGGATGGAAGGCTGAGTCAACCTGGAGCCTGGTGAGATTGG